TTTTGCTCCGGTACAGTTGGTCCCGAATAATTGTAAAGGCATAGGGTGTCTGGGTTATTATGCGTTTCTGCATATATGCGAATGCGAAAACGCATATTGCGACGACCCCGGTGTGTGTGTATGTGTGTATAATCTCAACATTCTCGCATTATAACAAGCTCTTATTTTTTCATTATGCGTTTTTGCATATATGTAAATTGCAAAAACGCATATTGGGAAGAGGCTGCCTATGTGTGTGTGTGTGTGTGTGTGTGTGTGTGTGTGTGTGTGTGTGTGTGTGTGTGTGTGTGTGTGTGCTTGTGTGTGTGTGTGTGTGTGTGTGTGTGTGTGTGTGTGTGTGTGTGTGTGTGTGTGTGTGTGTGTCCGGGTATTTCAACTCGGCACCCAAGCAAGCTCCGGCGGCGAAATTTTGCGAGGGGGTTCTCCGGCCAAGTGCCACCCCAGGACCGTGGTACCAATCCTCATGCACGTCTAGACCCCGCGTACGAGCGCCTCAAAGTTTTGGCGGGAAAATCGCTAACTTGGGAACCAGAAGGGATGGAAAGCTGAAATTTTGGGATTATGTTCCCCATCCATACAGAATTCAAAGATTTTAAATTCAGCCCCTAGGTATGCGTGCTTCCCGCGTACGGCCCCGTAAGGGTTCCTGGCGCGAAAATCGCTAGCTTGAGAACCAAGAAAGCTGGGGGCTGAAACTTTCAGCAAATGTTCGCAGTTCATCTACAATTTAAATTTATCAAATTTAGCTCCCCGTTATGCGTGATTGCCATGTACTGCCCCGCGAAAGTTTTTGGCGGGAAAATGGCTAACTTCGGAACCAGGGAAGTTGGGAGGCGGAAACTTTCAGGAAATGTTCCTAGCTCATCTACTACTTAAATTTGTCAAATCCAACCCCCATTATGCGTGGTTGCCATGTACAGCTCCGTGAAATTTTCTGGCTGTAATTTGGGTAACTCGGGAAATTAAAAAGCTGGGAACCTGGAATGTCAAGGGTACGTTCCTTGTCCAAATATAGTGTGGGTAATTAATTTCCCGAAATTTGAGGATCGGTATGTCACAGGTTTCTAGCTAGCGCAATTTCGAATGATCTTATTACAGCACGAAACACTGCAAAAACGCATGATCGCACGGGGCCGTCCAATGCGCGTCGCCAATGATTATTCACAAAAGAAACTTTCCCGAAAAAAATAATTGGCCAACGCACGGGCTGTCCGTGCGAAGATGCATTTTTTGCAGAGTTCCCCGCAGTTTTTGTCGCTACCGGCATCGGTTTATTCGGCAGATGCTTCTAGCTGAAAGAATTTCAGACTGGCCGCCAGAACCGTCTGGAAACATCCCCTCAAAATTCCAGTTTTCTAGCTTCTCACGTTCTTGAGTAAGTAACTTACCCAGAAGGAACTTTTCATGGACCTGTACGTAAGTATCACGCTTACCCGCGGGCAGGGTTTGAACTCGTTGATACCCACTTAGACAGGGAACACAACCCTAAGATTTCAGCTCTCTAGCTTCTCAGAACCCCGAGTTATGAATTTACGCGGGAAAAATTTTGACTAAATTTCAGCTTTCTAGCATCTCAGGACCCCGAGTTATGAATTTACGCGGGAAAAATTTTGGGGGGTGATTTCAGCTCTCTAGCTTCTCAGAACCCCGAGTTATGAATTTACGCGGGAAAAATTTTGGGGGGCCGTACACGGGTACCAGCTTACCCGGGGGCTGC